GTGAGTGTAGTTATATATCCCCGGAGCCGACGTACCTGTTTAGCACCACATGCTGACTCAACAGGCTACAAGGCAGTGTGGCAACCAGCGTGGTAATTGCTTTTTTACAAATGTCTGTTCCCAGAGGAAAATCCTGTTCCTTCTGCTCCTGCCCTTCGAGAGAGAGGCAGATCCCCAGGGGCAGGGCGGCCCCCACAGGGATGCTGGTGTAGTGAGAGTGAGAGGTCCTGGGGGGATGTTGGTGCCTTTTTGCTGGTAGATGTGGTGTAGTGAGAGTGAGAGGTCCTGGGGGGAATGTTGGTGATTTTTTGCTGGTAAATGTATTCAAATCCCATCAAACCCTGTTTGTGTTGCAAATTGAGGATGGGAAAAGAAAAACTCAAGGGTTTTTTGCAGTGAAGGGGTTTCTTTGGAAGCTGTTGGTGGTGAAACCAGCCTGCGCAGCTGGTCGGAGCTGGACTTTTTAAGTTAATAGCAGAGCTGATTTCTTTACACTGGTGTGTTCCCCAGGAGCTGATTTCTTTACACTGGTGTGTTCCCCGGTGATGTATCTTTTAGCTCCTCTTGGAGCTGGTTTCTCTGGCAGATTAAACCTCCAGTGGTGGCACTTTCCATGCCCTGATCTCACCAAACCCAGCCCGGAGGCGCTGCCATCCCGGGAGGAGAAGTTTCTCTCCTTAGGCTGAGTTTCTGTGACCCCTTGTATCAAAGAGCTGTTTGTGGTGGTGCTTCATCAGCGACCCATCGAGTTGAGGGGCTGGTGCTGGCACAGACGGGCCTCAGTGCCCTGAATTTGTGCTGACCAGACAGTCATCTTGCAGGGTTTTTGGGCAAACCCAGCTTTCCTGCTGCATGGATCCCCCAAAGCTGTGACCACCCCATGGGGTGAAGAACCGGGTGTGTTTCTCACCAACAGGGAGGATGGATTTTGGGAAGAACTGGTTTTGGGAGAGTGATTGAGTGTGAGACGTGCCTTGGTGGGACCCCAGAGCTGGTGCCTCTTCTCTTCCTGGGGAGGAATCCCAGTCTGGGTTATTCCCCGCTGCTTCGACACACACACACAGAGTCAGAAACTGTAGGAAAACTCTTTTATTTCCTTCCCACCCCATCCGTGCCCCCCTCCCCGTGGCACAGACCGTGGCAGTGGGGAGCCTTCACTGCGGGAAGGCTCAGTGCCACCCCGAGACACCCCGAAACAATCGCTAAGGGAGGAAAAGAAGACTTAAAAGCAGAGAAAGGCTCTTGGGAGTGTTCCAGTCAGCCCCACACACGCTATACAGAGCACAGCTATAGATACAGGGGAGCATATGTACAGGAGGTGGGCAGCGTGGGGCAGTGCTGCTCTGGGGGGGCAGCATGACCCCTGGATTGCCACAGCTTGGCAGGGAAGGGCTCTTGTGTTTAGTAGAGACTAAAGCTCTTCTCTTGCCCTGCACAAGTTGCTTGTCAAGGTGGGAGCAGCCTCCGTGGTCCTTCCCAGCTCAGGCATGGTGCCACCAGCCCCGTGGCACACGGGGAGGGTGAGGGGGACCCCAAGGGACCCCCGAGGGGCTGCATCTGAGTGGCTCCTGTGTGTGTGTGGCGGGGGGGCTGCTCCAGCAGCCACAGCAGAACGCAGACCACAGCGTGTCAGTGTAATAATCCCCTTTGCCGTATGTCCAGTATATACACATATGTACAGTCCCCCACCACTATGGGATGTCTGGGGGTGCCCCGGCTTTGCATCCCTCATCTCCTTCTGCTCAGGAGACGGCGTGAGGCTGGTTGCCCTCACTCTCAGCTGGAGCCTGGCTGTATTCCTGCCCTGGCTTTGGGCAGTCCAGGTCCCGGAGCAAGCGGGGAGCAGGTTGAAATCCAGCAGGAGACACAGGGGAGGCTGGCAGGGAAGGGCAGGGGTGTCCTCGGGTCTGGAAGCAGCAGTTCTTGTTTCAGATCTAGTAGCAGAAAAGGGGGTTTGGGGTCTGCTGTGCCCCTTTGCTCCTGCCTCGCTGGCGGTTCCCGTTTTGGGCAGGGTGTGTGTCCAGTGCAGCCCCGGCAAAGGGGATGGAGCCTCTCCCTGAGCCGTTTGAAATCAGCTTGGTGGCAGCAAAGGCTGAAACAACCCCCAGAGACACGAGTCCAGCCCTGCTCTGAAGCAGGACACGAATCCGGAGGCTGGGAGCTCTCTGGGATGGAGCTGGACAGGGATCACCGCCTGCATCCCTGCGGGTCCGGGAGGGAAGGGATTTCTCCACGGAGTCTCCATCAACACCACGGCTCTTCCCGTCGGGACGGAGTCAGGGAGCCCTCCAGAGACGTGCCAGTGCAGTTCATGAGGAGATCATTATTTTAAAGAAGTCCAAGGCAGCTTTGGTGCTGGTTTGAGGAGCTGTAGAGACGCGACGGGAAGGCTCCTGGTCCAAACCCAGCCTCTCCCAGCCCAGAGCAGGGTTTGGCTATCGAGCACCGGTGGGCACTGGCCATGGCAGTGCCAGGAGCCAGGCTCGGTCTGAGGTGGGAATGGTTGGAAGCGCTCCCGGGGCGATGTCCAGCCACAGCATAACCCCCCCGGCTCCCGAGGGCTGAGGGACAGGGGACAACGAGGATGCCTCCACGTGGGTCAACCCCACAGGGGCTTCCCTGGGGTTCCTTGTGTTCCTGGGGCGGGGGGAGAAGCGAGTGGTGGGGGGGGGGAGGTGGCTTCTCATGGGCTTTTGGGGGGTGGCAGCCTTCTGCAAGAGTGACCCGCCGCAAACACCCCCGGTGACAGACCTACAGCAAAACGTGGGGCTGGATCTGTGTCCCCCCCCATACAGGAGAGCTCAAGGGACACATCTCTGCTTCCCATTGCCTCCGATTTGTGACCAATCTCTTCCTGCTGCTGTAATTGATCTCGTTTTTGGGGGGACAGGCTGGCTGTGAAGTGGTTGCAGAGCTGCTCCGGCATTTGCGGCATCAGCCCGTTCTCTCGGCAATAACCGGGAGAGGTTTCCCACCCGACACTCCCACGGGGGGGTTTTCCAGAACAGACCCCGTACGAGGTCAAGTTCCCACTCAAATCAAGTGGCCGGGAGGGAAACCTCTGTTACCGAACCAGCAGGAGGTTTTATTTTACTGGTTTTATTTTGCTGGTTTTTGTGATGGGCGTTGGGCTGCGGCTGCCCCCCCTGCTCGTTCCACCACGATTCGCTCTCCTGCCCTTTCCCCAGCACCCTGGCACCCCCCCCTGCCCCACAGCATCCCACCTTGGTGGCCTTTGGGACACCCCCACACCCCTCGCTCCTCACCTGCACCCCCATATCCCCAGCCCAAGAGAGTGCAAAGAGGGGGGGGTCAGGATATTTCACATCACAGCCCCTTTGAGCTGCCAGAAATGTCCCTCTGGGGGGGTCAGGGGGGAGTTTGCCAGGACAAAGATGAGCTGGGCATGGAAAGATGGGCTTTTTCGTGTTTTCCCCGTGAAAGCAGCCCAGAGAGGAGATGCTCCCGCTGGAGACTCCCATCCCTGGGTGTGTGGCTGGGAAGAGGCATCACCTCCCAACGCCCCCCCTTCCCCCCCCTCCATCGCTCGGGGTGTTGGTGGCAGGGCTTATAGGGACAGCACCGAGGTGACACCGGCTGGTCTGGGGCTGGCCCCTTGAGGGTGAGCGCTGGGGGGTGACACATCGGCC